AGGTACGCTGACTGAATGAGTTTGAGACCATTATGTTCACCCTAAATAATTATGCAAATAAATAATTTATTTGAATTTTAATTTGGCGAAAGCAATGGCGATCCTACTGATTTCTACTGTACACTGTCGCCATCGCCTCAGTAGAATCAAATCAATGATTCTACTATGCCATCGCGCACGCAGGCGGCACGCGTTGCTTTGGCCGAACCTTTAAGAGCGTTTACGTCTAGCGTGGCATGTCAAGTTTAGGTAATTTCGATGCTATTTTTATTCACACTAAAATAATTATGACTGTGTGCGTGTTCTCACGCTCTATAGTCAAACCAAAATACTTTGATCCACCATCGTAAAAGTGTGCCAGGCTGTCAAGTGACAGCTCAAGGAAACTATAAAATCTTCAAATCTTCCAACACCGACTCCATAATTATAAATAATGGTATACATTAGTCCTAATCAATAATAAATACGTAAATTCTTTATCAAATAGTAAATTATCAAAGGTTTTTTACTATTTTGAGAATATTTTATACAGCCTATGTTCAGCAGAAAAAAATTTGAATTTTAATGGTGAGAGATTTTTTCAAATCGGTTCTATTCAAAACAAACTTTTCCTGTTTACTATTCTTTTTTTATCCGGAAAATGCATAACATTTCATACCCACCAGCTGCGGGGGCAGCTAGTGGGTTATGTGGGGTTCTTCCTACCAGAAGGTGGGTAGCCCCTACACCCACTAAAAACCTGACTGTTTCTGCCATGATCCATATGAGTGATATGAGGGAACGCGGGACATCGCCATTGGCTGTTGCCTGTAGCATTCGTCCTTAGCCGCCACCAGACACCTCCATGTCTAGCGACCGAGGCCTGTTAGGAAGGGACAGTTGGAGACCATAAGCTGTCCTCTTGCGCCCAGGGTGTCGGCGGCGGATAACCGGAGTGTCGGCTGAGGCCTCTCGCTCCCCCTTTCCACTGCTTCTTTCTGTGAAAGAACACTTTCACAGAAAGTAAGCACACTATACCATAAGATTATTTGTCTCATCATATATTTTATACTAATGTAGATATTGTTTCCGAAAGCGAGCGGGTTCATTCCGTACCTGTACGCTTCATGCGTTCTCTAGCAAAAGCTGAAAATCAGTGTTCTGCCCTTTTGAGGGTAGTGTTTATACTGAGCTCTTTGCTTTTTGCATCGCTGCGGCACACATCACTCTGACGCAGGGAACTATTTGAAACGCTAGTCATCTTTATCTTATGTTGTTTTGTCACTTTTGTTATGTTGCAACTGTTGAAATTATTACTAACCTGTGTAACAAAATACCAGTGGTGTCACCTAGTGTGTTTCTTGACTAACTAACTTTATTTCGATATTGAATTGAATTTCAATAGCAACTATACATAATGTGTGTGTTAAAAGCATTAAAAAAAGTGTGTTACAACAAATAAACAATTTATCTATCTATCTCACGCCTCTTCCCGATTGGTAGGGAGAGGTCATTTCCAACCGCCGCTCGTTCGCTTAGGCTGGGCACTGTTGGAGCGTGTCAGTCTGCTGCGGTGACTCACGTGCCAAGACTGCAGTGTTAACTGACAACCATCTACAGGCTCTCGGCCTATACGGTGGAGGAATGGCCCGAAGCACCCATGGCCCGGTAGAACCTGGGTCGCCCTTTGTGTGAGGCGATCATGCCGTCGCACCCACTCCTCTAATACAGGCAGAACTGCCTCTATGGTGCGACGTAAAATTTGGCTGACGGCCAGGCGTACCCTTCAGCACTCTAGGGCCTAGATCCTCAAGCCTCTACCTTTTGGTTTCCACCTCTCGTGGTGCACGTACACGTACATTTCCCCTTGGGACCTATGGTCACCTCGCAACTGGCGTCTATTCTCGGTTGTCGACACTAGCTTTGTCGCCACTGAGGATAAATGGCATAAATAATATCGATTGTCACCAGTGGTGACACATACTTTCCCAGTTGTAGCTACAGGCTTTCTCACAACTTATGACAAATTAGAAAAATACATCCCAATTATGCCTAGTGGGGACGTACACAAATATTGACGCAAATGTCATCGTGCATGACATACGTAAAGTAAAAGTCAAGTAAGACCAGATGAATACAAATATTATTAATTTTATTTTGAACTAGCGGCCGCCCGCGACTTCGTACGCGTGGACCTCGTTTTACTCCTTAGTTCGTAAAATCTGTTGTTTGATATCATGTTGATAGATGGCGTTTCACTGCTTCCCCCGCATGAATATTTACGAACGTCAAAAACAGTAGTTTGTGCGCTTTTTAGACACGTCTTATTTATTTATTGAAATTTATTGGTCACATATCGTCATAAATTAGCCTATAATTATGTTAATCTGGTTTATAAACAATACTACTGTAAAGTTTCAACAAAATCCGTTCAGTAGTTTTTGAGTGAAAGAGTAACAAACATCCAGACATCCAAACTTTCGCATTTATAATATTAGTAGGATTGTTATACGTCGCCACTAATGACAATATTTCTTTTCCCAATATCCTCAGTAGGGACATAGTCAGTCAGTGTCCACAACCGGGAATAGATGGACTGCGGATACTATGCAGTATCCACGAATTACCTCAGCCTGTGCCTCAGTGATATCATGCGTTGCGCTTTTTTGAACAGTAGGATGCTCCACGACTACACAGCACTGTGCCATACTCGAGCCCCATATAGGATCATATAACGTGCGACGCAAAAGTATAGTCAGCGACTCAGTTAAAGTCAAAGATTTTCCGACTGTAATATGTTGTGTGTATGTCCTACTAGGTGGGACCCTGCTGGCAGAGCAATCCTATTAACTATTCTGTAACCACCTATTTATGGCAAATAAATTATTAGTATTATTCCTCTTTATAATATTAGTATACATACATAACTTGCTGTTCAAAATTTTCGTTTCATCGCCAAAAATACCTTAATTTTATTTTTCATCACGTCTGAAATAGAATCTGTAGTAAAAATAGACTGTAATGAAAAATTTTATTTTATTTTATTTTTCTTTATTCAGAAAACCACAGCTCTTTATAATAATAATACAAACAGGTATTTTTAAATAACAATAAAATATTTTAATTACCACGTGATCGCAAAATCTACCACCAAGATTTTGCGGATACACTATAAAAGTCCAGCTACCTGTCAAAGATCAACGTATTTTAATTTTAATTTTATAACTAGGTCTATGTAAGGTAGTTAGGCACTAAATTTATTTTATTTCATACCTGTCACAAATAATGATTACAAGAAATCATCACAGTGATTTCGGTGGGGGGTATGTTCAGTCCTTGTAAAAATATTGGCGGGTATTCTCACATTTGCTTCGCCAACTTTATTTTCCTACCATCGTCCAATGGTCGGAGCAAGCCCCACTTGCCCGGCGACGCTCATCGCGCACACCCGTGTGTCGCGCACGCTTAGCGAGTCTACGAGTGACGTTCACTCCCTGAAAAGACCGTGTCTTTTGCTATAATTCGCGTGTAGCCGTGCTCCGCGTACCATCATCATCATCAGCATCAGCTCCGAGCATACTCTGGCAGTGCTCCACCGCCCAGAACGCCGTGCGTCTGCAGGTTGGCTTCCGTCCGTGGCGAGGGTCGATTTTAAGGTTGGTGAAGCTCAGATTACCTGTCTCTGTGTTGCGAGGACTGATCTACCTTTCATCAATTTTCTATTATAAAAAACCTATACAGTCCACTTTCAAATCAAATTCCCTGAACCAGCGTAATAAACGCAATTTTCAGTGCGACATACGCACAGTAGGTGTGCAATAGAGTAGGTACTTTAAGGCGTTTCAATAAAGTTAAAGCTTATATAGAATCTCATCGACGTCATCATAAAGGCAGGAAAGCGCTGGGCGCAGGCCGCTACCAATCGGGCAACATGGAAAGCTGTGTTTAGCAGTGGATGCCCTATGGCTGAGATGATGATGAAAATATTATCTTATCATCTTGGAGTTTGGTATGATATTATGCAAACTGCTACTTCTTCTAAGTACTTATTGATTGAACAAAGCTGGCATTCTCAGCTCTAGCCAGGTCTTGCCTTGAGCAAGCTTTGGGGCATAAGACATAAGTGTTTAAAATAATAAAGGTAAACATAAAAAATAACTGGCTATGTAACTGAAAAGCTTCAATCGAAAATCACAGTGACATTTCTATGCTCTTGAAAGTATTTCGAATTCCCTCACACGTCTTACATGTGGAATTTTTCATCAAGAAATATACGCTGGAAGCTACATAGCGCAAAGAGTACTCGGAATCATGAAAGACGTTTAACTAAACTAAAGCCTGAATAGAATGAGCTGAAATTCTTCTCTCTCTAGAGTTTTACGCGGACATGATTACTTTTCCTTATTTATTTAGTCTTTAATTTAAGTTTGAACTCTATTGAGGTGCAGTTCGTTTTTATTTGAAAAAAAAAAAACTTACTTTTATTGTATTTTTTAAAGCGCGCTAGGCTTAAGGTCTCTACGCACTAAGCCCGCCGACATACAGCCCGGCAGCTTGGTGTCCTCGAAGAGTCATGTCAACAACTTGCTCTTTCTATGACTTTTTACAACATATCAAAAGTCGACGACTCATTCAGCGAGCCGGCGGACTTGGTGTGTATACTGCATTACACTACGCTGCGGTCGCGATAGCTGAGTGCAAGAGCTAAAGCACCGCTCGTGTGCCTGCTACAGATATTTCTATGTAAGACGACGCAGCGACACTGTTTCGGCGTTGCACCGGTGCACGCTGCCGCAACATATCTTGTGCTTTAGGCTAGCTCTAGGGGATATTATACGAGTAATTTAGATTTAAAGGAGCAGTTATATTATGCGGGAAATTGATCGAGACATATGGTGTAAACACGCACTTTAGTCAGTTTCGCCGTGCGTCGTCCACACTTCGGTGTGCGCTCTCGCTTCTGTTCGATTAATTTTCCGCATGGTGTAACTGTGGCATTAGATTTAAGGGTTATGACTTACCTCTGAACTAGTGGGCGTGGCAGCCAGGAGGAGCACGACGGCACAGAGTGCCGCCGGACACCTTATCAACATCGTAAATCTGGGGACAAAACACACACATTAATATCCATTCGAGGGTTCTAGAGTGGAACGCTTGACACAACAGATAAAACAGCTTTGAAACAGTTTAATTAAACACTTTGCTAGAATTATAATGAATTTGCAATTTGAATTTACTCGACGTCGAAGGCCGCCCTATACTCGTACGTAAGGGGTGCCTTTATTTTACGTTGAAGGCCTACGTACGTACCTAGCTATAGTTAGTACTTAGAGATCGACTTTTATGACCTGAGTTCGATTCTGACCTAGAGCACTTTTTATTGTTGTAACAGCCGGCTTATGAGTCTGACACTTGGACGAATAAACCACTGGACGCGTAACGAGTGACGTTTTCGTCTTTACCCCGCTAGCACTTACCATGGCTAAATTAGCCATGGTAAATGTTGTCAGGTTGTCACTTTGTCAGTATGACGCCAGCTCTCGAAGAGTAAAAATATCACGAAAAATGGGTAAATGCGCCGTACTTTATTGCAAAAATTATTCCTGTCACACAAGAAATGTTTCTTATCACGCGTAAGTACATTTTAAATCTATTATAGTAGCTATTTTTTCGTAAAATAAATAAAATTTGATATGTAAACAAAATAAGATTACGTCATTTTAAAAAGTACTCATTGTACATGTAAATGCTTAAAACATGTAGTATATTTAAGTTGGTTGGATTATAGGTTTCATTCATTCATTCACATCTCATTTTTATGACGTAAAGGGCTTGAAAAATGTCGATAAGTTTATCGATATACCAAACAAACTGAAACTGAAATTATTCAAATTAATTTTAGATTTTGATAGATTTTTTTGTTTTGATAATTTTAGTCACATGAAACAAAAGATTATGAGATAGACATAGATGGAACATACAAAACAAGCACACCAGTAAATGTAAGTAATAATTACACCTTTTTTGAAATATGTTGTACATCAAAATACTGGTCAAATTTGAATAAAATATTTTTGATGTTGATTGATTTTTTGGCTTTATTTTAGTCACATGAAACAAAAGATGATGAGATCCACACAGATGGAACATACAATTTAAACTTTTCATTGCATCTAAATATTAATAATGTCATCACAAAAATACGCCAAATGACTACAATTATTATTTTTTATTTCATTAACAGGTTTTATTTTCGGTATGCAATACCGAGGTGGAACCTTTTAGATCTGTGTCATCCCCTCACGTTTAGTGAAATACCGGGGTGGTTGGAACTTGATTTGGTCCATCCTGTCATCAACTGTTTTTCAATGGGACGACTTCTGAACATCAGAGAGATCTTGACTGTCAAGATACGTGAATTAGGCCACTGAACTTTTCAAAACAAAACCAACACAGGTGAAATATCTGAGCATCTCCCTTGACAATAAATTGAACTGGGCAAGTCATATCGACAACATGCATAGTGCCTAGCAAACATAGCGGCCATGGGTTGTATGAGAACCACTCTATCGGCATCACTTGACTTCTTTCTGAATCTCAGACATTTAGACCTCATTATTCAGGAGGAAGCACAAGCACCCACTCTAAGACTTAAAGGAAACGATCTATGAAAGCAAAACAAGGAGACAGGATATTCCGCGATTCTGCACAAAACCCTAAAAGAAATACCCCTCATCAACAGGATAGGTACCCTGTGTACACATCTTCGACCAAAGATAATATCCAGCTTACAGCGGAAACGCGAAATTGCTCTGGAATCAATGAAGTTAGGATATACCGACGTCTTCAAAACTGAAATAAGTACTAGGAGGTCTTCTCGAATGACCTAAACATAAGAATATCAACAACATTAGATAAGAATTAAATATTCTCAGATAGTGCATCCGTACTGCAAGCGCTACAAAGCAATACATTGTCATAATGTTATCAAATTGTGTTTCATGAAATGTATAGAAATAGGCTATTGATGAAACTTTTGTCCGTGACGTGAGACAGATTATAACATTTGTTGAGACCAAAAGCTAGTTAGCAGTCGACCGTAACAGAATATTACTTGTTTATTGCTTTACGAATTTGATAATGATAACACAGCCAAAAAATATTTCACCTAGTTACCTACCTATATGAATAATTTGTAATATTATTTGTACCTATGATTTACCAATGGCATTATAATAAACACGATACAATAATTAATTATAGTCTTTCAATTAAAGAAACTTTCAATATTATCAATCCATAATTCATTTATCTCGTTAGGTTCATTCATTCATTCATTTACATAACTATCGATAAAAATTTACGATCTTTTCCCAGCACTAAATGTCATTATTTGACAATTGTCAAACCTCTCCCCCCGCAAAAAGTGGTTGATCGTGTTTCCTTAGAAATCTTGTAGGTTTCGTGTCCAGTGGTTTATTCGTCCAAGGTCTGACACCAGATTTACGGCTTAGTTAATAAAACTTGAGAAAACTAATTTTGACATGGTGCCATGAGCTACCGTTTAGCTATTAGGTAACTTTAATTCTTTCAGATAGTTATACCTTTTTTATTCGCTCGAATGTGAAAGCGCTGAAGTAAAAGTACAATTTGCTGCTTCATTGAATCCAATGCTCCCTTGAGCCAGAACCCACTTCGGCATAGTTTTAATATGTCAAAGTTGACGTCAGATACATAGTTGGCAAGTTTGTTGATAAGGACAGGCGGTTTGTGGAAAGAGACGGAGAGAGAGCGGCTTAAAGTTTTCGGACTTTGAATTGTTTTGGACGGCCGTCACAATTTTTATGTGCCTACCTGTGTTTACTTATGTAGAATGTAGATTGATTTGAATTAATGTACTATGTTTTTTTTGTAAGTACCTATGCACTTATTTATTTATGCGTCATCTTAAGGTTGCATTATACGATCAATACGGTTAATGCATTTTATCATTGTCTCTTATCTTTAACATATTTTAATTAATACACGTACCTACTTATTTATACACATTTGTATACATAATACATGTTTATACAATTTTCATCCATTAATTTTCTTGGTTGTAATAATCTTCGGGGACGGCCGTAAAGAATACAATTCCCCACCGCCAACAGGAGGCGTGTCGTAAGAGGCGACAAAATCCTGTAGCACGAGATGGGCAGCAGCGTTTGCGTGCGAAATTTATAAAAAACTGCGCTCGCCAACCCGCCTGCCAAGCGTGGCGAGTATCGGCAATGATCCCCCCAATGAGGAACACAACAGCGACCAGGCCCCCAGTCTCCGGTAGCCCCGCAGTTCCTGGCTACGGTAGCGGTCAGGGTAGCAGCGGGGCGGGGGGTGCTAAGGAAAGCATTGGGGGAGGCCTATGTTCAGCAGTGGACGTCCTGTGGCTGAAATGATGATGATGATGATGATGATGAATAATCTTCGGATATTTTTAATAATTGGTTGATGCAGTAGCATATAATCATCAGACTTCTCTTTGGTAATATGAACTAGTAACAATTAAACATAATCTTAATGAAATTAGATCCTTCCTGAGATCTGACTTGAGTCAAAAGGTGCACCGTTTAATAACAGACTTTGAGACTATCCTCTTCCACCGTCTTATGGCGATGTTTAAGTAATTTCTACTTAATTAAATTGAGTTCGGACGAGAAAAATACCTCGTTAGCTAAATAAAGGGAGGGAAAAGTTTATTAGAAAATCCGCTGCTTGATAATTACAAGCCGATAGAAAATTGTTTTGAAAAGGGAAATGTTTCGTATAAACTACCTAGTAAATTGACACCAAATCATGGATCTTATATTGCAGAACATAGTATGAACTCAACATAAAACAATATACTTACATGAATAACACTTTTTATACATCACACCAAACAAGAAAAGAAAAAAATCATCAAAGGAAACGGCAAAATTTAGGCTTGTTTTATATTTACTCTTAAACAGACTAGTTCTTGCAGGAAAAGAAGGCTACTGGTGAAATCGATTGAGAAGAAAAATAGTAGTCCGTGAAACGTACAAGATTGACACTAAAACTGCTAAAGTAAGTAGACTGATGTAGCACAAGACACGAGACTTACAAATAGCATGAGACCATGATACTTATTATTGAAAAAGTATTTGTGATTCAAAAAATTACGTAACTTTAGCACACAAGTCAATCGGTTTGGTAACCTCTTGAGTCTTTCAAATGGTACCCATAAGTCGAAATGTCACGCCATGTCATAATCTCACGCTACCTCTCTGTCATGATAGCTGTGTGCCAAAGGCTCAATACTTCATGTTTTGTATTTCTTAATCATTTCAGTCATAGTTATTATTAGTTACTATTGTCGAGAAATGAATGTCTACTAACACGCATAATGATTTATTAATTTGACCAACTACCACATTCGGGTACAACTTTTGTTGATAAAACCACAGATCGATTGCAAAGGAAACAATAGTATTGCGTATGTGCTACGAGTATTTCATAATCTCCCAGGGATAAGTAGCCGGGGGCGTTTTGTTGTCACGTGCGATCGGAACGGCCGTGGAAGCTGAATGGTTCGGACCGGATTGGGACGAGGGCGATACTAAAGTTTCTGTGTAAGGCCTTTACAGGGGACGATTTGTAAACTTTGGTGATAAAATTGGAATTTATAGAGCAAATGATGTGTTCAGGAAGCTTTCCTTGGTCTTGGTGCTGGAGCGAACCAGATTTTGTTTCCAATCGTGTAAATAAGGGTAGTGCGTTACCTTTTATCATTAGAGATAGTAGGTGTACTTACTACTTATGTAATGATGGTAAATAAGGCAAGATTGGATGTTGGACGGAAGCAAAAAGAAAAGGTCCATAAATTCCGGCATTTCATGACATTACAAGAGTTAGAGCCTTTTAGAGTTAGCTATTCGTAATGGATAAGGTATTTTTATTATTCTTAGTTGAAAATAATCATCGTATTTACAAAGACTCGTTGAATCGTCCATCCTATGCATTACAAAGTTAATTAGAACTAAAAAACTTCGGAAGAAGAACTACATAGAATTCATAATAAGGTCGCGCGTGTCGTGCCAATAAAGTAGCACCGTGTAAAAGCCCTTAACGTTCTGTTTTAGTTTTACAACTATCGTGACTGCATCTGTTTTGTCGACTGCGATTACTGCGGTTGTAACAGGCGTGACTGCCGTAAAATAACGAAGTAGCTATTTTTGTAATTGTCAAAAATCGTTACACAACTATAAATTGGAGTAATTGTCAGTAGGTGCCGCGGTGGCCGGTGATGGCTATGGGCATGGTAGGTCACGTACTGGATAACAGCTCATGCGTTTGCGAATTCGACTCCCACAGGGGACAATGTAGAGCTAGTATTTTTCTGTGGGGTAAGGAATTTGTGGTGTAAGATGGTGCATTTGAGCACAGAGTCAAGAACGTGTGGGTGTAATAAGTAGGTACTGCATCTATCCGTTCTACTAGTACGTAAGAGTCAAGCTAAACACAGTGGCATCCTGGTATCTTATGTAGCTGTAATAAATGCTATTTTGCTACAGAAGTTTTAATGTCAGATGTGCTGTCAAGCTCTGGTTAGTTTAGGGCAAGGTGCGACAGTTAGTGCGGTTTCTCCTAATTATATCTCGTTCTGTCGACCTCCAAAACTTGTAGGTACTTACAGTCAACGTCAAATATTTAGTGACACCCAAAGTGGCCAAAAAGATCCACAACCTTATTCCAATTGTAACAAAGACGTGTTACAAACTTTTTGGCTACTTTGGGTATCACGAACTATTCGACGTTGACTGTACGCCATTGTCTGAATATTGACGAATTAACTGCACTATTTCTACTTACATTTAACCACAAAATTGATGGACCTATTAACATTCTAAAGCAGAGACTGTTAAAACAATAAAGGCGGCGTTTTCCAAATGCGCAGACAATGGAGTAGCCATAAAACAACTTTTGCCATGGTCTAGTTATGTATTTAATTCGCTTCTCCACTTATGGCGGGCAAGTGTGCCAGTCTACATAACACAAGTATATAATATCTATGATACGTATAATAAATAGAAAGTGTGATTGACACTAATTGGATAAAAAGATAAAATAAACAGCTAATCACATCTAAATATGACACTTTGTTCGATTTAAGATTTTAACAATTTTACCGTGGTATCAGGTTTTTCGTTCAAACTGATTTTACTTGTTTATTTGGGTCTTTAACACTGCATATTCCTTAGCATCTGTATATTCACGCTTTAATAAACAAAAGCACACTATTTCGCGGTTTTAAAAGATCGTTAACAACAAATTACTGGCAGTGCGCATAATATGATGTCACGATCTATACAAATACTAACGATCAATGTTAGTTCCTGTGATGGTTCATAATAATAAGGCACGACGAGGTACATCATTATGATATAAGAAATTACTATAGACTAAAGGTATGCATTAAACGAGATGTGCATAACTTAGCAAAAGCTTAAACAAAAAAATACTGAAACAAAACCATTATTTTTGTGGTAGATCTGCTAGTAGTGAGTGATACTGGCAGATTTGTAAGACGTTACGTTACTTGTGTTTTAAAAGAACGCGTAGGTAAGTAAGTACCACATTTCAATAAGCAGGAAAAAAGCTAAAATATAAAGCTCTAAAATGAATAGGTACAGTCCACTCATTGGCATGCGAAACATTGCGAAGTGATTTCGCAAATAAATTGTTGAGTCCCCGCACGGACGGGTTTGATTTTCATTCCAAGTCGGATGACTTTGGGAAATGAATTTAATTTAGACCTAATGAAATATGAGTAGGTATTGTCCAGAATTTGCTTGTAAATCTTATTGAATACTAGCTTTTGCCCGCGGCATCGC